TAGCAAACTAAATAAGGTGATACAAATAATAGAAAAAATATTATCAATGAAAAAGTTTTTACCTCCCTTTAAAATAAGAACATGAAATTAGGATATGAGTAGGATAAGCTGAGAATGTTTATACCTATGTTGGAGGAAAGAAATTGGCTCTCAACAGAATATTTGAGAGGTGGGTCAGACCTTTTGGGGGCAAGCAAGGAAGTCTACCATTGTTCTTGAAAAACATATTCCTGTCAGGTTAAGTTTTCTTTTTCCAAATTTGAAGGAGTCATGGGTACAGTGCAAGCATGATGATAAATGGAAGTTAACAGTCATTCTGCTGAGGGGCTAGTAGGGACTGTGGCAAATTGGAAATCAAAACTTTTTTTATGAAAAGTGGAATACTACTTGGGCTGCGGTTGTGGCTCAGCAGTAGAGCATTCACCTAGCACATGCGAGGCCCTTGGTTCAATCCTCGGCACCACATAAAAATAAATAAATAAAATAAAGGTATTGTGTCCAACTACAACTAAAAAATAAATATTAAAAAAAGAAAAGTGGAATACTAGATACCATTACTTGGTGCAAACAACAATGCCTTGCTTAGTGGTGGTGTTTGGTGGGAGTTTCTGTTTTCCAATTTTTTTTCAAGGGAAGACCTCTTTGGTTATGTATTATTTCATGTAACTGTGTGTGTGTGTGTGTGTGTGTGTGTGTGCGCGCGCGCGCGCGCACGCTTATGCAGTACTGGAGGTTAAACTCAGGGACTTGCACTCAACCACTGATCTACATCCTCAGCCCTTCTTTTTATTTTATTTTGAGATGATCTAACTGGGTGAATCTGGCTTTGAACTTGTAATCCCCTTGCCTCAGTCTCCCAGGTTGCTGGGAGTATAGGCATGTGCCTCCCTGCAACAGCTTATAACATTTTTTTTAAAAAGTTGTACTAGCCAGCTGCCTGCTTTCCTAGATTCTTTAAAATTTTCTTTTTATCTCTTATTTCCCAGTCTTGTGTCTAGCAGAGCTAGTATCTCCCCCCAAACATTCTTGCCACCACTCATTCTGTGGGCCTTCAGCTGGGTTGTTCTTCCCAATTTCACCTCTCCTGATCCTAAATCAGACAGTTTATGACTGTTTTAGAAGCATCTGAAGATAATTATGTAAAATCTGTAATTATTAGAAACATGAATGAGAAAAATATGCTGTCAGTTATTAAAATCTTCAATAACAGAGTAAACTTAAAATCAACAGATTGAGCTCTACTTTGTATGGTACAGTGTTAGTCTTCAAAATAATTCAGTCTAGAAGGAAATGATGGATTAAATCTATGCATTTATAAAAATAATTAGCTATATGCAGGAGTAAAATGGTAAAAGCAAAAATGAACACTGTGTATCTTGTCCCATGGGAGTTCAAGTGAAAAGGATTATTTCATTGGTTGGAATACAGCATAGTAGATTTAAAGATAAGTTATTTTCCCTCTTTCACTCACAGGTAAGCAAACAAATATAAGTTTTGCATAATAGTTTTATTCTGAAAAAGTTTTGCTATATGTTAGTACCTTGCCAGAAATATGACTGTTTATTTGTGAATGCTGCATAAAGTAGATCATGTGAATTCAGCAAAATTCTTACTCCTAATCTTGAGAAGAATTGTATACTCTGAAAATATTTTATTGGTCTGTTTTCCTTTTTCTTCCTCCAGTGAAACTGACAATAAAAATAAAGTAAGCTTTTACTTACTTTAATAAAAAAAAAATCCCATGTTGGACTGGGGTTGTGGTTCAGTGGTAGAGCGCTTACCTAGGATGGTTGAGGCCCTGGATTCGATCCTCAGCACCACATAAAAACAAATAAACAACAACAAATAAATAAAGGTTAAATTCTTTTTAAAAGTATCCATGTTGCTGTAGTTAACTGGTTATTTACAAAATGGGTTTATTTTACCATAGCAGTTAAAACCACTTGCTTTGGGCAGATCTGGATTTATAACCTGCCAAGAAAATATTTTGGACTTTTGGTTTCCTTCTCATTCTCACCAAACTGAAAGACAGGTATTGGAAGCATTTACTGGAGTATTCCCAGTATGGATTTGTTTGTTTGCTTTTTTTGTGTGTATGATATTGGGAATTGAACCCAGGGCCTCACACATGCTAGGCAAAGACTCTGCCACTGAGCTGAATATGCCCAGCCCCAATATGTTTTGTTTGGTACTGGGGATTGAACCCAGGGGTGCTTTACCATTGAGCTACATCCCCAGCCTTTTTTAATTTTGAGACAGTGTGGTAAATTGCTGAGGATGGCTTTGAACTTCACAATCCTCCTGCCTCAGCTTCCCCAGTTGCTGGGACTGCAGGTGTGCACCATACACTGCACCCAGCTTTTTTTAAAAGTATTTTTTGCATAACAAAGTACTTTTCCTGTTGTAAAAAAATCACAAAATGCAGGAAATTGTGAAGAAAACTAGAACTAACCACACAGAGATAGCTACTTCACATTTTGTTATATTTATTTCAACCTCTTTTCAATTACCCTTGTCTCATTTTTTTCATTTGTACATAAACATTTTCCTATGCCCTTAAAACTTCTTTGAAAAGATTGGCTATAGAGTACTCCTTTATGGGTGTTCTATAATTTATTTAAACATTTTCTATTGATTTCAATAGGCTGTTTTATATTTTGGGTTATTCTCAATAATTCTGTAATGAATATATTTACATACAAATTGTTTGCACCTTACTTTTTTCCCTAGATTTGTAGATGTAAAATTATTTAATCAGGGGGCATAAATGTTTTCTTTTTCATTGGTCCATTATAATTATACATAATAGTGGGATTCACTATGCTATATTCATACGTGCACTTAACACAATTTGATCAATCTCATTCCCTCGTACCTTCCTTTCCACTCTTCTCCCCCCCCATCTCCTTGCTCTACTCTATTTATCTCCATTCTAATATTATTATTTCATTTAGTGCATTATAATTATATCAGAAAGCATGATTCACTGTGGTATATTCATACATGAACATAGCATAATTTGGTAGATTTCATTCCCCAGCAATTCCCCCCTGAGGATATAAACTTTTAAAAAGCTCTTTATTAAGTAAGGCAAATTTCTTTCCAGAGAGTATGTACCAATTTCCAGCAGTATACAAGAGTGTCAGTCTTACTGTATCTTTGACAGTGTTGAGACCAATGCAGTATTTTTAACAGCACCTGTCCTTTCAGTTTTACTTGCTAATTAAATTCATTTTTTTTCAAAATGAATCTATTCAAACCCATTTGGGGTATACTTTCAAGATAAACTACTTATAAAATTCTTAATGAAATGAGGTAATGTTTATTAAGTTAAAAAATTAGATTGCAAAATAATATGCGTAGATGTAGAAGAAAATATTCACAAAAGCATTGCGAGTGACACTGTAAGGTGTTTCTAAGAGGGGAGTATGAGTGGATTTTTAAGTTTTCTTTGTTCCTTTTTGTATTTTACAAAAAATATTCATAATAAGTATGTTTTCTGATGAGAAATGTAACTTACTAAAATAATAAAGCTTTATAATTAAATTGCAGTACAAATGATTTATCTCCTTCAGAAAATTTAAGCCATCCAAAAACTTTCTGTGCTTGATGTTTTGGCACAGCTTTTCTTTTTACAGTAATATTTTGAAGTTTCTATTTTCATTTGAGGAAGTAGGATATATGTTGAGTATTAATAATGGGTACTAGCTTTCATGTTTTCTGGGAAGTACCTGCATTTGAGAATATTTCTGGTTTTGCCTTGTATGTGAGTAGTTTTAAAATGAAAGTTTGAGAGAATTTGAGTGTTTGACTTGCTTAGGGAAATGTAAGAATTTTTATTGGAATTTATATTAGCCTCTGGTACACCAAAATTGCTTAGGGGCCAAGTAATCCAAAAGTTAGAATGGTAAGTGTTCTTTATGTTCAGATTAATAAAGAAGAATGAGAACAGATTAGAACAGAGTATCTAGCAACCAATGAGCAAATTAACAGTTTTTTTAGATTCACCTTTCTGTGGATTTACTTTGGTATGGCATTTACAGCTTAGGAGATAGCCTCATTAAAATTCCACTGAGTACTGTACAATATAATATGTGAACCAAAACCATTCACAATCATTGTTATGTACTTTTTAAAAATATTTTTTCCTAAACATAGAGCATGAGGTAGTTAATTGGTATGAATTACCCAATAAATTTAGGTGAGTTGTATTAAAATATGTTGAAAGAGTGTATTCTTTTGTGTTTGCCTGAATTCATAAACAAAAAGTAAGTAACAGATTAAATTAGACGAACATATTTTCACAGTATGAAGAACTTGACATCACAAAATATTCCCAGAGCTTGAGGTATTGAAAAAACTACTTAATTATTTTATCTTCTTTACTTCCCTCACTCTAAATTGGTTTTCCATATTCCTAAATAGCATTGACATTTTTTCCCAAAGCTTCTCATCATTTTGATTCAGTGGAAATTTTAAGGAAAAAAAATTTTTTTTCAATATGAGACATTTTTCCCAGTTACTCATATCCAGGAAGATCTGAAATCCAAAAAAAAAAATAAAATAAAAAGGTCTCTTTTATATTATATATATAGCTCTCATCCCTGATTTACATTATTTCAAAAAAATTTAAATGTTTTTTAGTTGTAGATGGACACAGTATCTTTTTTTTAATTTGTATTTGGTGCTGAACCCAGGGCCTCACGTGTACAAGGCAAGTGCTCTACCACTGAGCTACAACCTCAGCCCTCAAAATTTTTGATCACAGTAAAATAATAAGTATTTAAATAACATTCCAGTTTTTAACATGGGGGGAATACCCCTAAAATAATTTTATTCAATTTATTTCTAGGAGAGAAAAATAAGAAAAATAACATTAATTATGAGATTTTTCAATAACCAGTTTCTTTTTCTTGACAGAAATTGATATGCCTCTAACCTGATATCATAGTCTTAGCCAAATTACATACTAATAATACTATTTTGTTGTTTTGCTGTAGATGTGTTCTTTGTGCCATTGTCCTGGAGCAACAATTGGTTGTGATGTGAAAACATGTCACAGGACATACCACTACCACTGTGCATTGCATGATAAAGCTCAAATACGAGAGAAACCTTCACAAGGAATTTACATGTAACTATTTAACTTATTTTTGTTTTAACAGTCATACTTTCTTTAGAATTTTGTACAAAGTTTTTCCTATTTCAAAGCATTTCATCATCATCATAAAGGGTGTTTTGATAAGTAATGCTTAAAGAAATGGTGGAAGAAGTTTTATAAGATTTTTTGAATCCAGCTTGTGAGTGGGGTGAAATGTACTGCTCATTTTCTTAATCCAAAGAATTAGTTTAGTTTGCTTACTTGATAATTTTTTATTTCTTAATTTTTTTCATAGGGTTTATTGTCGAAAACACAAGAAAACTGCCCATAACTCTGAAGGTACGTCATTTAGCTATTTTCCAATTTCAAGAAGGAATATGAGTAAAATATGTGTAATGGTTCCATATTAATTTTTGCCACTTGATGTATACCAATATTAAATACATTTAGGAGAATTGAAGAAAGTATTAGGATGAACTAATATACAATAGTGAAATATATAAAAATTTTCTTTTCTTTTTTTGATACCAGGGATCAAACCTCCAGACACTTAAGGACTGAGTCACATCCCCAACCTTTTTTTTTTTTTTTTGAGACAGGATCTCTCTAAGTTGCTTAGGGCCTTGCCAAGTTGTTGACGCTGGCTTTGGACTTGTGATCCTCCTGCCTTAGCCTCCCAAGTCACTGGGATTACAGCCATGTGCCACAACAACTGGCAAAAATACAGATTTTTATGAAAACTTTTACTGCAAAGTTCTTATAAAATATACATTGAAAATGTCTTTTCTCTGTAGAAAGAAATGATGCTAGGGGGTGACATGTTTCCATAAGGGTCATAATTAGAATCCTTGCTTCCATGAGATAATTACAGATAATGTGATCTTAGGAATACTAGTACATAACTAGACTTTCTGTTACATTGTGTTATCCTTATCCATGGTTTTACTTTCCATAGTTTTACTTATACCTGGTCAACCATGGTCCAGAAATATTGAATGGAATATTCCAGAAATAAACAATTCATAAGTTTTAAATAACTTTTGTTATATCATTTTAATTTATCTATTTTATCATTGGTTATTGTTGTTAACCTCTTACTGTGCCTAATTTGTAAATTAAACTTTACAGGTATATATATATATAGAAAAAAACAGTACATATATACTATCCACTTTCAGGCATCTACTGGGAGTCTTGGAACATGACTACTGTACTTTTTTAAAAAATACAGACATGTTTATAAGTAACCAATTTTAAAATGTAAACTTTGAAAGTTATTTCATAGTTTATTTCCACTTAAATTTATACAAGACCAGATTAGTTGTTTAGTTGTGTGTGTGTGTGTGTGTGTATTTTTTAGCCAATCTTGTACTTTTCTTTAAAAGACATGGAGAAGTTCTTAGATTGAATTCCAACTTGTTTTGAACAGATGGTTTTGATACTTTTACTAGCAGTATAAAATAGCTTAGATTTAATCAGAGATTTTTCTATTCTTTCATTTAGATTCGAGATCTTTAAAATGGTTGTTAGCTTCTGAGAACATGCTGCTTAAATTTAAAATGGATTGAGAACTGTTGTTTTAGGAAGTTGTTTCTTTTACAGAGACTTCACTATTAGTGTTAACATTAAAATTATGTTAAATGGGCCATATTAAAATGGCCTTTTTTGATCTCTTAGATCTTGACTTTTATTATACAAAATAGTATTGATTTCACATCTGAACTCCAGATTAATCCATCTATTATAAAGTTCTGGTTAAAAATACAATCATTTTGTACATGTGTTGAAATATCATGATGTACCCCATATGTACAAATATTATAGGTTAATCTAAAAATTTTTAAAGAAAGGGAAATTGCATGGAAATGAAGGGAGACCCTCATTGCTATACAAAATTACATATAAGAGGTTGTGAGGGGAATGGGAAAATAAACAAGGAGAGAAATGAATTATAGTAGATGGGGTAGAGAGAGAAGATGGGAGGGG